CCCCCCCCCCCCCACTTCGCACTTTGCTTGTGGCTCCCTCCGTCTTTCAGCCACCAGGAAAAGTTGTAAGAAGATCCGGGGTCCAGGTCCATAAAGCTCTTGCCTACACGGTGCTTCTGTCGTCGGGCGAGGTTAGAGGGGAATACCTTCACCTTTCAACCCCCGCCCGTTCCGTACGGGAGAAACAGCTGTTCTCTCCCGCAATTTTCTCGCAAAAACGGTAAGCCTTAGGCCTTTTTTTCCTCAGGCTAGTGTGGAGGAGGATTATCGGGATCATTCCGAGTGCATGCACCTACTCCCCCCGCGCCGCACCTAAAGGTGGCGGCGGCATATCAAAGCCCACTGCCGCACCTTGTTGAAGACGGAGATAAGGCTTTCCTCGATGGACTTGATGGCCTCGACGTCCCTGCCGTAGGCTCGGTCGTAGTCCTTAGCCGTGGAGCGGTAGCGGTCTATCTGCTGCTGGAGGGAAAGCTTGACGGCATGCTGATTTTTCTTGCTTCCGGCCTTGCGGTAATGTATTCAAGCGACGACAACGTTAGGGGAGGTGGACAGGCACCGCAGCAGCAGCAAAAGCAAGGGCAACTTCAAGAAGGAGAAGGAGGGGAGGGTACCGTAAAAGGGAAATTGTGGCAACGACAGTCGGACGAAACGCTCTTCACGACTAGCCGAGCTACCCCAGCCCCCTGGATACACATGACAACCTATGAGAGCCCCCAGTACCTCAGAACTCTAGCACGACAGTGATGAAGATAAGATTTGCCAGAGCGTAGTTGGGTGCAATAATCCACCAATTAATGTACGCAGGTTCTGTTGGGCCAGACGTACGAATGGAAAGCGCCAAGAAAGCACGACAACATCAGACAAAGTCGAGATCTCCCCCCAGACACGCGACTACTGCGGTGATGAACACCTCACAGAGTCTTGAAACGACACGAAGAACAAGCGGGAACCAGACGCCATGTGGCTTCGCGCGGCGTTTACACTTGCAGATTTGAAGGTACGGGAGATGTCACCTGCGTCAGCCTGTCGACTTCGTCGTTCATCAGGCTCTTCTCGTGCTCGAGTTCCTCCAACTCCAGAAGCAGCGGTAGTGGTGGCAGCATTAAGGCGGTTACCACATAGCAGCAGACGCCGTGGAGGCGGCAGCAGCAGCGGTAGCAGAAGTTGCGGCATCGGGATCAGCATCAGCATCAGCAGCAGTAGCAGTAGCAGAAACGGTAGTAGTTGCAGCAGTTGTAGCAAGAGGAAAATGTCGATGCGGGTGGCCAGCCCCGGGCAACGGAAGTCCAGCTCGAATCGAACTCCACCGCGACAGTTCCGTTTTTCCGGTCAATAAAACATGACAGCATATGAGCTTCCGGTAGTAAGAGAGATACAAGCTGAACAACATAACAATGACCCGAAACACTCGCCACCCCCACCACTACCACCATCACCATCACCATCACCACCACCACCACCACCACAACAGCAACAACAACAACATCAACAACAAATCTAGATTAACGACCACCATGGTGCGGCTGCACTCAACGAATCCCGTGGCTCTGCATGTTCACCTCCTTGTTGAGCTCGTTGATGAGCTTGAACAGGTTGTAGTTCTCCTCCTCGGCCTCCAGCATCACAGGAACGAAGTCGTCGAGAGTGGTAAGACTCGTCGCGTCGCTGTCATTTAACATGACCGTTGAAACAAGACCGTTGATCCCCCAACACGTGAAGGTTCGCTACCGCGGAATTCCCCCCCCA